GCTCAGTATAAACCTTCGGATGAGCCTCGGGTGAAATGTCGCAGGACGGCATTTTCTGCGCCCCCGCCCTCCTGTGAGTTCAGTCACTGTGGCAAGCCTGATTTTTCAATCATGGTGATTTTATTCTGCATATTTTACAACAATGCTTTACATCAAGAATATTGTACCCTTCAAAATAAACAAACCAAGAAGCAAAAACCAAACCCTCCCAAATTCATAGCTGTATCTTCTTGTAAAATTGCTTAGGAAAGAGNCAAACAAACAAACAAACAAACCAAGAAGCAAAAACCAACCCCTCCCAAATTCATAGCTGTATCTTCTTGTAAAATTGCTTAGGAAAGAGCTTACTAAACTACATTCATAGATGTACTCGCTAGAAAGAAGACAAGAAATAAGCGTTTGAATGAACACAGCCTGAAACAAGCAGTGCAGGGTGCTGTGAGGGGAGCCCAGGCCTGTTCGGGGGGCTCACAGAGGCACACAGCCTGCTGGGAGGTGCTGGCTTTGGGCTGCCTGTGGCCCTGGGAGCCTGGCCCTGAGGAGGAGCTCACACCTTTTATGAATCTTTTATTTCTGTGCAACTAATTGCCACCAGTGTAGAGGTTTAAGCTACACACACCCATCACCCACACTCCGTGGGCCCGGAGTCCAGATGTGAGCTGGCTGCATCCTCGCTCAGCGTCTCTCGCCAGGCGAGACCACCTTGGGTCAGGGTGAGGGCCAGAGCTGCGGCCTCACGGGAGGCCTGGAGGGTCCCTCCCTAAGCGCGTGCAGGTATTAGCAGAATTCATGTCCTGCAGTTGTGGGACCGAGGTCCCTTCTTTCTGGCAGGCGGATGGCTGGGGACTGTCCTTCGCTTCTAGACGCTGGCCTCAGCACCCTGCCACGCGGCCCTCCTCTCCCAACCTGGCAGCTCCCCTCTTCCGGGCCAGCGGGGACCCTGCTGTGGCCCCTTGTCTCCTTCGAGGCCTCACCTGACTTGGTGGGGCCCAGCCAGGAGGCTCTTCCTTCTGATGAGCTCCAAGTCAGCTGAGCGGGGCACTGGGTCCTAGCGGCAAAAGCCTTTTCCATATAAATATAATCATCGTGGTCGCCGGTCCTGCCCACACCCAGGGAGGGGGGCTCGTCCACCTAGGGGGCTGTGTGGGAATCTCGGGGACCTCTCACGGTTCCATTCTCATCAATAGCAGCCTCTACCCCCCACTGGGCTGCTGCTAAGTCCAGGGAACCCACTGAAACTTTCTCTCTAGACCAGGAACACCCACCTGCTGAGTCCCTTACCTGNCTCTCCAGACCAGGAACACCCACCTGCTGAGTCCCTTACCTGCTCCCACACGACCTGCAGGACCTGCCCAGGCCACCTCCCTGCCTCCCCCTCCAACCTCCGTGTAACCAGCCTCCACCCAGAGCTCGGCCTCCGTGCAGGACCATGTGTCTCCTCAGTGCTCTTGGGCGTGCACAGCTCAATGCAGGCAGCAGGGGGCGCTGCTGGCCTTGGCCGGGGGCAGCCACCTCCGGGTCCCCTCACCTTCCCAGATTCCCAGCTGTTCCAGGTGGTCAGTCAGGACCCTGCACCAGGAGGAGGTGGGCGGTCTCCTGTGTCCCAGCCCCATCCCCGCAGGTGGGTGGCAGAGTGCAGGGGCAGGGGTCCCAGGGCCCGTCCCCCGGGGCGGAGGCGCACGCCCCACCTGCTTGCGTCCGGGGTCGGGGTGAGGGTGCAGTTGGAAGCTGAGCGATGCCCGATTGCGAAGGGCCTGGGTTGCCCCTTCTCTCATTCCTCTCATCTCTGGGGCCCCTCTGGCCTCCGCAGCGTCCAGGTCGCCTCAGGGTCTTCTCTTCAGGGCCATCTCAGGAACTCAGCAGAACATTCTGTCTCTTTCCCCCGAGCGCAGTTCCACCGGGTGGGCTCTGGGCCTCACCACCCCGCCTCCTGCGTGACAGGTGGGCACTTGTCTGTCCAGCGGCCGACCAGGGCCCTCCGGCCTGGCAGTCAGCTTACCCGGCCTGCAGGCCAGGCCCAGACGCCCTGTTGGGCAGCTGTGAGCACTTTCCCCCATCAGGGTCGTTTCCATGGCAGCACCTGCCCAGAGCCGTGGATGGGTGTGCAATACGTCTGTAGAGTGTGTCATGCGGTGTGCAGCTAATCTCGGTGACGCCCCTCACTCCTGGTTATTCAGCAAGGTGAGATTTTAGAAGCTTCACATGCCCACTTACGGGCATGTCTGCAAAGCAAATTTTTCTCAATTTCACAAACAACCTGCCACAAAGACCTGAAACTGAAACTGGCACTATTTTTATCTTATAAAAATCTTGAATTCAAAGGAACTCAGTTAAAAGAAGTTATTTGGCAACTGAGGCTCTAATAAAACCACAGGCTAAGCATTAGATTTCGGGAGGCACAGCCAGGCCTCTGTGATCTAACCCCTGTTTGTAGTGGTTGTTGATGATCCTGTACACTGCAGGCGTGGGAGCCCTTTTTTCTGCCAAGGGCCACTTGGATATTTATAACATCATTTGCAGGCCGTACAAAAGTATCAGCTGAAAAATTAGCTATGAAAAGAGTTCCTAGGTTTATTGAATTTCGAGTCTCGGTTGCCTTGGCAGGGCCAGACCAGGTGATTTCCAAATGATTTTGTGGGCCTTATATGGCTCGTGGGGCCAGATATTCCTCACCTCTGCTGTATTAGCTTTAAAATATATTTCTATAAGAAAAAGAATGGTGCATTTTTTTTGGTGTAATTTGCAGGAAAAAATGTTTTAGAAGCTTCAGAAATAAAACAGACCTCGCAGGAAGTGCTATTTTTCTTGTTTCTTTTTCCCAATAGTTCATTTATTTCAAAAGCATCACCGCGAATGTATTTTCCTGTCCAGAGCGTCCCTGCTGCCTGAGGTCACACGCTGTGTTGTTACTGAGACCATTACTGTGTCGCTCAATCGGGTTTAGCTAATTTCCAGCACCATGAAAAGCTCTCTCTTGTCCTTTCCCCAGTCACTGACCCTCAAGCCAGTCACCCGGCTCTCATTTGCTGGGCAAAATGGTCATCAGATCTCTCATCAGAATCTTGTAAGAGAAAGAAACGCCCAATGCAGACACGGCATCTCAGCTCCTTGCAAATCATTTCCCTCTTTTGTAAACAAAGCCGTGATTAAGGTGACATTTCAGGAGCAGCAGAGGGAGCACGGAAGAGGGGGGGTGAGGGGAAGGCCCATCCCCCTCGAGGCCTGTGCCTCCTGGTGAGTCACGGGAGCGAGAGCCTTTCAGGTTTGGGTTAAAGGCTGCCAGGAGGGGTGGCGTCCCTGGAAAAGGCCAGAAAGCTGGGGAGGCAAGGATGCATCTCTTATGTATATTCTAAACTCCTTCCCAAGTAATTTGAAGGTAAATTACTTCTGTGTAGCTGGCCTTGAGATGAATGTCACGGGATAGACGCTTAATACAGTGCAGCAGACGCTCCCCAGGGCTCTGCCGATGCTGGGAAGGGTGGGCGACCCAGCTGCCGGTTCGTTTTTGGCCCTCACGTGCCCACAGACTGCATTAACTCTCTGCAATTTAATATTTGATAAAATCTATCTACTCTGTGAAGGCCCGAGTCTCCGTGGGCACCCACACCCGTGCTGGAGGCGCAAAGTCCTACACGCTTGCTGACTGCAAATCAGCGTTTACTGCCGCGTCTCAAGAGCGGCAGGAGTGTGGTGCCGGCTCCCTGCTCCCCACCCTTCGCCGTGATTAGTGTCCGCTTCAAGGGGCTCATCCTCTCTTGGATGCCCTAAGCTCCTTACCATCAGCTCAGAACTATATTCTAGCAAAATCTATTTCAGGAACACGCTCAATCCATGGCAGCGGGTGTTTTCTGCACGACCCCGCCTGCGTCCTGCCTGCCGTGTTTGCACTGACTGAGCCCTCTCACGAGCAGGGCCAAAGAAACCCGTGAGTCCTGGGCACGTTCGCGATTTGGGACCTTGGTGTCCATCGGCCTGGTGACCAGTGACTGTGAGCACCGTGGGTGTTGGAATTTCAGCCGAGACGGCCCCAGGTACCTGCCACAGGACAGCTTACCAGACGCTGTCGGGATGAGAGACACGTTTGCTGATCTGTCGTGGTTTCTACTCCAGGGTCCGCCGGCCTCACCGGCAGTGGGACCAACCCACCTGTACTCCCCACTGTGGGGTGACCTGCTGGGACTCAGATTTAACTGACCATACTTCCTGGCCTTCCTCCAGGATTATTTATGAACTAGGATCCCAGGCCTGCAACTTCCCAAGCCACCTCTGGTCATCACTGGGCTCCTGGCCATTCTAAGGGACAATAAATGACAGCCCTCCCTGCCCCCGGATGGTCAATTAGTGAATCTGCTCAATAATCAGATTCCATGGATGGGATTTTCCAGCGTGTTTAAGCCTCAAACACACGTGGCTTTAAGATACATAAATGCTGCTGGGAAGCGACAGGATGAGGCTACTCGCCGAGGGAGAGGAGCGGACGTGGCTTTTTCAGGGAAAATGCTTAATGTTGGTCTTGATCAAGATGAATGTCATGGGCGGGAATTCAGCAAGTAAATCCCGGGTGCGGGAGGCCTTGCTGGGCACAGAAAGCTGCCCCCCATTTGTAGTGAGTTCCTGGCGAAAGGCTGCCTGAAATTCAGACAGAGGCTTCCAGAAGTGGCCTTTGTGACTCAGTATCTCCCACAGGGATCTTTTTTCTAATAGAAAAGAGAACTTTTCGAATTAAGGGTCACGAGTGCTGCTGTTTAGCAGAGGTGCCAGTGGAGAGAGTTTCCATCCTAGCGCCGTCCACTGGGCAAAATAAATGGGGACCCCGATTTGAGGCGCACCCACTGTCCCCTTCACTAAGCGTGTGCCTCGGTGTGGCTGACCCTCCGTGAGCCATGCCCACGAAGGAGCGGTTTCTAAACTCCCACCAACGAAGGAATGGGTCCTCCCGAGACCGTGGAGGTCAGAGGGCCCGCAGACGGACCATTAGAAATAAAACGACAACAGGTAGCTTTTCCGTAAGAGCATGTCATGTCAATTTATTATAGAACGCAGTTAGAAAAAATACTCTGAGGTTGTCTCTCCAGTTTAAAAGCACTTAGCCAGGGACACCGAAAAGCGACGCGACGTCTCCGCACCGGCCCCAGCCCGCCCGGTGCTGCCAACAGGGTTGGAGAGCATCCGGCTTCTTGGTGTGACCAGCCGAGCGCCTCCGCTCCTGAAGAGAACCACGGGCCTCATCCCGAAGCGCACCGCTCCCGGCCCGGGGCTTCAGCGCCACGGCTCCGCGCCGGTGCTCTAAGGCCAAGGGAACGCCTGTCCGCCGGACGCACACAGTGCAGCTAGGAAAAGTCGCAGACGACAACCGCGGGGCCGACCCGCGGGACAAGCAGGGACGCACCGAGCGCCTCAGGCCCCCAGGCCCCGCCGCCCCTCGGGCTCTGAGTCCGAGTCTGGTCGTGCTGTCCGGTGTCTCCTACAGGGCGCGAGTCCCGCCACCTCCCGCTGCTGCGTATCCCGCCCGCGTGCACAGAGGGAGGAGTGTGTGTCCTCGGCTTTATTTACAAGTTCACCGTGATGTTCCAGCGGGTAAAAAAAAAATCAACGACCTTAACCAGCAACTCCCAAGGCAGGGTCCGGCTGGGACATTACAAACGCCAGGTGACAGAAACAGAGGAGACCCACGTCCGAGCCAAGGCGCCGAGGCTGAAACGTCTCGCCCACCGAGAGTCCAACGTCTCCGAACGCTGGACGCGGGCCCTGCCTAGGACTCTGGACGGACTCCTTCAGGAAGAGCGCAGGGGGGTGCCCCCGACAGGACGAGCGGCCCCGGGGGCCTGGGGGGGGCGCTGCTGCGAGGAGTCGTGGACTGGAAGCTGGCGGCTTCCCGACGCTCTCCTGTCTTCCAGACACACGCGGGGTGACCGGGGTGCGACTCCACACGCACAGAGGTTAGTTCTGGGGGCCAGTGACACACATGCAGGGACAGCAGGCACGAGGGAGGAGGACGCTACAGTTTCCACGCTGCACAGCGGTTCTCAAAGCTCTCGGTGATCACGGTGCCTCTCCCGGCAGGACAGGGTCCACCCCAAGGGCTGCCTGGGACGGACCCGGGCCCCGTGATCAGCCTGCCCTCAGCAAAAGCAGAACCACCGGGAAAAACGAGCACAAAACACTAGTTATCGGGTTTCTCAGGACGTCCCCTAAAGTCTGTGTGCGATCACCCAGGCGCCGTGGCTGGCCCGGGACATTCCCGGGGCCGTGAACAGTGAGTGACATGCGGTGTCAGAGCCGGAGCCCGAGCCCCGAGCCTCTGCCGAGCAGTGTGCACCGGATCCCGCCACCTGGGCCACGGCTGCTGCTCCCAAGGTCGCGCCCGGTGCTCTCACAGTAAAACGGGCCTCCCCGCGAGTGTGACCCGGACCCCTGGTCGGGGCCGCTCAGCTCAAGTGGATGGGCGTGTACTCCGGCCGTCGGGTCTGGATAATTCTGGGCTTGGGCCTCCTGGTTCTGTCCAGCTCTTCCTCAGTCTCCTGGTCGCTGTCGCACACATGGACCACCACGCTGGGCGTCGTGTCGGTGGCCGCGTGCAGTTCATACTTTTCCCCTAGAGGAAGAAATCAATGGCAGGGTAACTCGGGCAGGAGCAAGGGAGCCCCAAAGCGAGGGCACCCGGGAACGCATCTGGGGGCTGCTGGGCCACGCTTCGTGCACAGTCCTCGGGGACTGAGGGACGCGGCCAGACACGCTCTGGATCCGCATTTCTCTGCTGGGGGGGGGTATGGTGGAGGGTCAGATGGATGACTCGAAACCTGGGCCAGGACGCTGCTCACAAATCCTACCCACCTACCCATCAGTCCCAACCCAGAGAGCGCGGGCGCAGGACCCCAGCGGCAAAGTCTCTGCCACCTTGCAGGCTGCAAAGCACAGCCGGACCATGAACTACATTAGTCAAGCTCATTGTTAAGCAAACTGAGGGCAAAGTGACTTGACGGTGTCTAGTTTCTAAAAAATAAGCCTTCTCAAATCAGCCTTCTGCAAAGAAGTGGTGACTCGAGCGTGGGAGGACTCTTCTCAGCAGCACTTTGTGTCCCGGGCGGGGTCTGACTCTCCTCCCCCCAGAGACCCCGTCTCCCCCCTGCTCTAACCCCGGGCTCCGGCCTCAGCCTTGGCCAGGGGCTGCCGGAGGAGCACACGCGTCCTCAGACTGGCCCTCCCACCCTGACCTTCATGCACCGTCAGCGGTCAGAAAGGTGATCCCTGCTTTCCACCTCGGAGGAAATTTCCGTCCGGGTGATGTTTTCAGAAATGTAATCTTTTCAATATGAAACTGCTGATGGCCCAAGAAAATAAAACCCTCGGCCCAAAGGAATGTCTCCCGGTCAAGGAGAAACTAGGAGCCGATGGTCTCAGCCTTTATTCCTTTCGCTGCACGGACCAGGCAGGAGGGGGTCCCACCTGTTCACCCCGAGATTCGCCCAAGCCCTCTATCAGACAGGCCAGGAGCACCAGCATCTTACTGTTCCCTAAAACCACGCACCAAGCGCTGCCCACGGGCCGGGCCCGGCTGGGGCTGCTTTTTACGGGATGAGCTCGCGTACAGCCCGCAGCTCCGCCAGGAAATCAGCACCCATTTCACAGAGGAGGAGCCTGAGGCAGGGTGCCCGCCTCCTGCAGGCTCGCTCACACCCGTCCCTGGGAGGACTGGACCTCTCCCCCTGGCAGCTCAGCAGGGGAGCAGCCCCTGGGCCCGAGGGGGAGCCTAGCTGGGCTCATTTTCACAGTAGGTTCTGCGTTCCCTTCAGCATTGAGAAGGGCGGCGAAAATCTGATCGGTGACAGAACTCTCCTCTCTGAGCATCCTGGTTCCCTTTTCCGTCTGACTCTCACTCCCACCCGGAGCGACAGGACCTGGGGTGGTGGGTGCCCACACCGACTGCTCAGCGGGTGAGGGGCTGGGGCCAGGAGGGCCCACGGCGTTGGGTCCCCATGACCAACTATGTCCCTGTTGTACCGACACCTCCCTAAAGACTGCGGCCAGAGGCGCGCACGCTCCCGGCACGAGCCGCGCTGAAGCAGAAAGTGCAGACAGAGGTGACGCACACTGGCACCAATCACAGGGGGGGAAGGGGGGGTCTGTGTGGAAAGGGCAATGGGGATGCCACGCCTCCCCGATGCCCACGAGCATCTGCCTCTGGGGTCCTTGGCACCGCCTCTCGTGTCACCTGCCCCTCCCCACCGGGACGCCGGCTTACCTGGCCCCAGCTTGGAGATGGCATATAAGAGATCATAATTGATGACGGGGGTGGCGTCCTCCACTTGCTTCCAGCCGACGGGCGGCGAGGCGGGGGGAGAGATCAGAAACTGCTTGTCCGGGTTCGGTGGGGCCAGGTGTGAACTCCCTATGTGCAAAGTCTGCGGAGAGAAACGAACCCGGGATGCAGCAGCGCCAGATGGCGCTCGAGGACGCGGGCGCGAGAGGGCGGGTCCGTGTCAGGGGCATCGTAAAGCGGCCCTAAGGGTGCCTGAGCCCTGGTTATGGTGCCAGCGTGAATGGGAGCCCCTCCCAGGGCTGCGACTCGCCAGTGCCCGAGCTTGACTAAGACCGACGGAAATGGACAGAAC